TTACGTTTGATAAGAGGCGTCATCACACCACCAGCTGTCTCGATACCAAGTGAAAGTGGTGCAACATCAAGTAAAAGAAGATCTTGTGTTTTCTCGGATGTGTCACCAGTCAAAATAGCTGCTTGCACAGCTGCACCATATGCAACAGCTTCATCAGGATTTATGGACTTGTTGGGTTCTTTGCCATTGAAAAAGTCTGATACCAATTTTTGAATTTTTGGAATACGAGTAGATCCACCAACCAACACAATCTCATGTACTTGAGCTTTATCAATTTTTGAATCACGAAGCACCTTTTCGACTGGGTCCATAGTGGAACGGAACAAATCTTGATTCAATTCTTCAAACCTGGCACGAGTTATAGATGTGTAGAAATCAATTCCTTCAAAAAGCGAATCAATCTCAATGGATGTTTGTGCTGATGCTGAAAGTGTACGTTTTGCACGTTCACAAGCTGTCCTGAGACGACGAAGTGCTCTAGCATTTGTGGTAAGATCTTTTTTGAATTTACGTTTGAATTCTTGAACAAAATGATTTACTAGACGATTATCAAAATCTTCACCACCAAGATGGGTATCACCAGCAGTGGCCTTGACTTCAAAAATACCATCTTCGATTGTTAACAATGAAACATCAAAGGTACCACCACCCAAATCGAAAATCAACACATTACGCTCTCCTTTTGTTTTCTTATCCAAGCCATATGCAATAGCAGCGGCTGTTGGTTCATTGATGATACGAAGCACATTCAACCCAGAAATCATACCTGCATCTTTTGTTGCTTGACGTTGAGAATCATTGAAATAGGCAGGTACTGTAACGACTGCATTTGCTACTTTTGTACCAAGAAAAGCTTCGGCGGTTTCCCTCATTTTTGTTAATACCATTGACGAAATTTCTTCTGGAGTAAATTGTTTAACTTCACCTTTATATTCAACCTGAATATATGGTTTGGTATTTTTATCAATAACTTTGAATGGCCAGTGCTATATTATTATTATTATTATTATAGAGGAGGAATGATGATACGAGAATTATTAAAGATTGATAGCAAATTATTATTATTATTTATATAATATTTATTATGTGTATAACACAATCGTCATCATTATTAGAATGTTTAATGTACCTTCATGTCAGATTGAACTTCTTGATCATTAAAACGACGACCAATAAGACGTTTAGCATCGAATACAGTATTGTGTGGATTCATGGCAACTTGATTTTTTGCAGCATCACCAATTAAACGTTCAGTGTCAGTAAAGGCAACATATGAAGGTGTTGTACGGTTGCCTTGGTCGTTAGCAATAATTTCAACTCTGTCATTTTGCCAAACACCAACACAAGAGTATGTGGTTCCCAAATCAATACCAACTAAAGTAAATTATATTGATAAATAAATTATGAATGTAAGTAATGATATATGATATTATTATTTATTATTATTATTATCATTATTATTGTTGTTATTTTTATTATCATTATTTCGAAATTTAAATTAATAATAATAATTACCTGCTTTTCCTTCTGCCATTTATTTTTTAGCAAGAGTAAAAAAGTGATAAATATTTACAGACTGTTTTTTATTTTATTTAACAAAGATCTTTTTTTTTTTTTTTTTTTTTAAATAATATTAAATAAATAAATGGATAGGCTTTTCAAGCAATTTTTCCATATTAGTACATTCATTTTCTGTGTATTCTTCATGCATTTTCCGCATAAACTTTTCATAGTAATGGTAATAGGGGGTTACCGCCAATTCCAGCTCACACTTCATAGATATTAACATCCTTGGAACAGATCATCTAAAGGCCAACAATACCAAACTATTTGTAAATTCTGAAAACGATCATATTTATACATCTTTTGGCACGGTAACTAATAATGGAAATTCTCAATTAGGATTTGGTAGATTAGCTGGAATAGTTGCTGGAATTAGTTGGATATTGTATGCTCGATATAGTTTTATTTTAGAAGAAGGCCTGAATTTTTAAAGGATTTTATCATTATTCACTGTTCACATTTCCATAATACGATTTTATTTTGCACGCAATGTACCAATCTTTGGTTACATCATTACATCATGTTTGTGCACCACAACTGTTTTTGTCCACTATATACATTTATGATTCCTGGTTTCAAGATCTAAATCATGGTGAATGTGCGTGTCAGGCTCTCTCTAGTCAAGGATAAAGTTTGTAATCAAATTCATTTCGCCCGATTTTTGATCATGTATGTGCGAGTGTGTGCATCGGAAAAATAAAATTCTTGATAAAAGTACAAGTCACACTTGTCCTGCAATCACACATGCCGTACAAATCTCAAATCATTGTGACTATTACTATGGCATTCAAATTAAATTTTGGGGCAAAGAATTTAAAATTATGGCAACATTGTCAAATCTCAATTATTTTGGCATCCCCATATATGATCCTTGCATTCATCTTTTATATAAAGTCCAACAAAGGTACCCGATGTGCCTGCTGATGCAACATATCAAAAACTCGAAAATCCATATTATTACTTATAAAGTTAGTGTTTGCAACTGATTGAAATTCTGCAGCAGGTTGCAACATAGATTGTAACATCCTAAGTTGAAATTTCTTAGTTGCAGACACCAACTTTAATTACTTAACAATGAAATTGAATCATGCGTACCGAGTTGGAATGGAAGAATGATATAATTTCTCAAGGTAAGTTATTTGTCTATTTTTTCTGTGTTAGTGAAGTCGTAAAGATCTGATATTTAGTATTTCTGTTTTTGTAAGTAGTACCTTTATCAAAATATTTATTCAAATCACCTTTTCATCAGCGAGCCACATGTCTGTATCAACACATTATACAGCATACTTGAATCAGATTGAAATGTACTGGATAGAATTTACAACTCTTCTTAATCAAAGAAGAGCAAGAGATACGTGCTTTCCAAATCTATGTATAAAGGTGATATAGTAGATGGAAAGTGGCTTTTTTTGATGGGAAAAAAGATCCCTGTTATATTTCAGGGGGTTTTGGATTACATCCTTGAGGTGTAAAAATTCTATACGTATTTAGTCTATTCTGTTCCCACGAAGCGAAATGGTATTATACTAACAATGACACAACTTCTTATCCTCATAAGTGGAAGTTTACAGATTGAAAATAATGACAATTTTGAAAACAAAGTCAATCATTGCTTAGAAAGTGAGGATTGTAATTTAGAAGATGGGAATAATGATGCGTAGACTGAAGATAATGTTAACAAAGAAATTTAAGCAAATATATCAAAAAAGTCAAGGCTTGTATTAACTTTTTCCAATAACCATTAAATGTCTTGCTCCTTCATCTTGAATATTTGCATTAATTAATTTTTCAACTACAAATAACATAATTTACATAGAAGAAATGTTGATAATGAAGTTGTAAAAATAAAGACAGAAATTTAAATAATTGTTAGTTGATAATATATTTTAATAAAAATCAGATCTGGTTTTTGCTTGTTTTATTAACGACTTCAATGATTTTGATTTTCGTCAAGGGTTTAGTCATTCATCAAGGGTTTGACTTTCGTCAAGGATCTAGTCTTTCGTCAAGGAAATTAATACGGTTTTGAACTGTTTGGCACACCAAATATAGAACATCTTAATATTACCTGCTGTCCATTTATTCCTGAATCAACTATTAATGAAGCTCTTCAACTTTGTCCTAAACTCAAGCATTTTGAACTTGGTTTTAGTAACATTTTTAACGTAACTATCAGAGAAATTGCTTGAATTTAAAATACTTGAATTGGAGCATTTTGAAAATATTGGTTAAAAGAGCTTAACACAAATATTTACATTGAAAATTATAAAGAACCATATAAATGGTCTAATTCCGAATCAACTAGTTCTGATTCAGATGATGGTTTCCCTCAATTTTATAACTAGGATCAATTCAAGATAATGATTCGAATTCTCGGGATCCTTTATTTTCGCATTTAATAATTTTCTCAGAGAAGGTTCTATCCCTGATCATCCATCGTGGATTACAAATAATAATGCTTTGTGACATAGATGAGTAATTAATGATTGATGACATATGTAAAATGCAAAATTCATAAAAAGGGTCACGAGCCTTATCCAGTTAATGACATTAGTATTAGTAAAAGCTTAGTTGATAAACTTGGAATAAAATTTAACCCCTGATTCTTCAGAGACAAATGAATCTGATACTAATTTAGATGTGTTAATGGAGAGAAATTTACAATTACAAAGCAAAACACGGTTATAGACATTACAAGGCAGACGCTCACAGTAAAGCTAAATTTCAATAAAAGTAAATTTTCATGTATATATTGATATCAATGTCAACATAACGTAATAAATTCCAAAATGCTACGCAAAAATTAACCAATTATATATGATAAATCAGCCACCAGGCCAGTTTATTATATGGGAAAAATAAAAAGTAAAATATAGTATAGATATGTATACTCTAAAATTTTGCGTTATTTTTCTTCTTTAATCTCCTGTCTTCACACAAAGGAGGGTTTACATAACCTATCTTTCTAGTCCTCATTTGTTTCTATTCTTTTCTATGTGGTTCTGAAGCCTGCATAATCAAGCTTTGGTTGACAATTAATATATTCTATAGATTGAAAATAGTTGTCAGTAATTTAATAAAAGATTACCCATATCAAAATGGATACATACTCATAGGATTCCTGAGAAGTCTACAAGCTTGTTTAACGTATCGATACCATCTAATGTTTCTCGCCATAGTTTTATTTCATCATCGGACCTTTTGGTATTATTGCAAATTATAAGTGATAATTCAGCATAACTAAGCTCACTAATTTTTCTCTTCATGTTTTATCAAAGCCATAATATCAGGCTTCTTTCCCATCCGAATTGTAAAAAATTTGCTCGCCAAACTTTGTCTTTCCGCCCTGTAATGAAAGTCGATTTTGAATAATCAATATATTCGTAGAAGAGTTGGACATATTGAAAAAATTTACTTACGTGCTTAAGCAGACGCACCCATTAGACATATCTTCCAGACTAGCCTGAAGTAAATGCATAATTATATCCGTGATATAAGTTCCCTCACTTTGTTCTTTGCGAGCTGTACTTTTTTGAAAGCTGAATTCTTCCACACTTTTCCACTAGATGATAATATAAAATTTAGTAAATTAAATATGTATAGAAAAATATTACTGAAACTCACAGTATGCTTAGTATTCGTTCTGTTCTTTTTTCCGTGGATAATATTTATGAGGATGCATGTATCACCAGACTCATTAAAGTCATCTAAAATTTCCTACACTTGAATACAACAGATTCAGGTAAGTCGTATTTCATATTCTCCCTAGGTTCCTGATAACAAAATTTATGTAAATAAAATGCAGTTTATATAACAAATTATGTGAGATAAATAAATTAATAATTATTACCAAGAAATGATGTCTTTGTCTCGATCCTAACTTTTCCACGGTAATAGAGTCATCGCTAAGAACCGCATTCGCCTCTTTACTTTGCCTTGAGAGTTCAGAAGGGTCACTATATTCCAATAGATTCTTCTTAAACCATAAAGAGATATATCCGAGTCGGTGAAATTCTAAAAAACATTATATATAAGTTTTTCTAGATAAACAAACAAGATAGAATTATTAAATACTTACGTTAAGTGTCGATTTTAATGTATTAAATTTTTTCAATCTTTTCACGTGAATTATTCGGAACAGGTTCCTATATAACTTGGTTAACCTTTATTAATAGGACCTCTTAATATAAATCACTTTCAACCCTAATATGCTTTTATACCCAGATTGCATCTACAACAGATGATATATGTTAGTTTTGTGCGAAACAATTATTTATATATGTGCCAATCAGATATCTAATATCGGTGAACTACAGAAGCATCATTTTTTTTTTTGACTATGAAGTTACGCACAGCCAGGAAGGTAGCAGCACCCTTGACACCTCGAGGGATTTTCATCCAGCCTTCAGCTATAACCACTCAATCGGCTTATTTATCTGCTGTAGTATCATCGTGAATATAATCAAATAAAAAAACCTTTTAATATGCAACTACCTGTGGTAATATTTCCAATATTTTTAACTTTCGATCATTATCATTTATTTTTGTTAATGCAGAATTTACTGCACGGTCCGCTAAATTCCTGATAGTATTATATTCACCCAATGTATTTCCTTCTATCGCTAAATAAACAACTGATGTAAACATAGAGGGCTTTTTCTGTGATTGGCTGACGCATAATGAAATTGATTGGATAATTTTATTACTACGCCGATCACCACTATTCAATTATCAAAAATAATAAAATGCCTATAGTTTGAAGCAAGGTTGGGTGGCGAAATGTCTCCTTTTCGTCACATAACGAAAATAAATGTGACGAAATAGGGTTATTACACTTTGAGTAATTTGACGAAAGTGACGAAATCAACAAAACAATAAAATAATTTTGTAGATTTTAAATTAGGGAGTAAGTAAAATTCATGATGTCAAATTCTAATTTACCCAATTCACCAATTCCTTCTCAATCATCATCATATAATATGAATTTGCAAACATTAAAATTAGATAATATATCTGAAAGTTCATTTAACAATAATCAAGAATTAGCAGGACGTCCTGTGTTTGATGTATGGTTACACTCCATTAAAATAGTTAATGAAGAATCATTTCAACAATCAGAATTATCAGATGATTCTACAGATTTTGAAGAAAGTTATGAAACCAGCAATAGATGTGAAGCAGCAATTCCTACTAAAATTTTGCGTACAAAAATTAAGAAACATGATTTACGATGTAAAAAAAATGTTTAATTAAAGTTTTAATAAAATTGAATTTTATATTTTCGTCATCTTTGATTTTTTATATTTAATTTTAACATTTCACATCGAATTTTATTGTATTAAAAATTAATAAAAATAATATATAAATTCAATTTGAAAAAAATTATAATTATATAATACGAACAAAGTTGGAAAATTTCTACAAATAAATGGCACAACAACCTCAAATAATTATTCTTTCATAACATGACAACTCGATCAATCAATTAATCTACCAGCTAAAAAATTAATCTATACTGTATATATAAATAAATAATTCTAATAATCAAATGTTTAACCAGCATCAATATTATTATTGTTTATATTTGATTTTCCATCACCATTCACCAAAATTATTATACCATTATCGATGAAGACATTTTGAACTGTTTGATCCAATCATATTTGGCCAAAAACACCAACACTATTACTACTACTATTTAAACTATTATTATTCATTATTTTCAAATGATCATCATCATCACCCGATTTCTCTCTTAATAATCTAACAATCTCACGAAATTGTTTCTCTCTATCACAATCTCTTCCCCACATACGTCCACGGTTCATCTCAGCGTCATCAATAGGTTTTCTTCCCCACCGATCTTTTGTTTCTATGTTTAACTCGGGCAATAGTAAAAGATATTGAACAGTGTCCAAACTCCCTTCTGCTACTGCATGATGTAATGCTGTACGACGATCAAATCCCGTTCTGTTAA